TACACAAAGTGGGGCGTGATTGAAAAAACAATGTCCTATATCCAGGGGCTTATGTCCTAATCTTAGTCCTTAGTCTATTATTGTCAAGTGAACATCAGGCCCTGCTCTATATATCTTTTCACATCAGTTTGGCTTGATAACTATCTTGAAAGTGGGCTCTCTCGAGGCGTTTTAACCGAAATATCATTCTTACATTGAATAATTATATGTCATACACTATTTTTTTAAATATTATCGATCTAGCACTTTTTTTAACACGGTGACAATAAAAAGCGAATCGCTATCCGTGCCTTCGTGGAGTTATGTTTGAACTAGCGCCACATAAAAGGAATGCGCAAATCGACATCCACACATTCGCAGGGTTCTAACACATACGTCTCCCCACATTATCACATGTCTCCTCCTCCCCCCTCCCCTCCCTATAAATACTACACCTGACACAACCTTCAAACCACACTCAGATATCAAATTCTCACATTCTTTCTATTATCAATATTTATATTAAGAAGGTAAAATATTTTCTATTGTATTAAAATTATTTAATATTTTTTTTAATTTTATTGTACTATTTTTATTACTTTTTGCAGTTATAAAATTAAAGAAGTGTTGCTACATTTAGATGAGAATCATATCTCGAGACATTTTACCGATACGATAACAATTTTAATTTTTGTTGTTATTTTAATTATTGTGAATGTTATTTAATTTTTAGTATTAGTTTTTATTTTAATTTGTAAATTATTTATTAAATTAGGAGAGATGTCGTATATTAAATCTATTCATTCATAACGTTAAGTTAGAGATATCTACTCATGTCTGGTCATATTTAGCCTTAGCAACTTCTTTGGCAGTATATGAATGCGACAGTGGGATAAAATGCCTATATTTATATACTTATCAACAACAGTCAATATGCAATTGAACTTGAAAGAAGGTAGGAGTCCTTCAATAAAATCCATGCAAATAACTTGCCATGCTTGTTTTGGGATTGGAAGTGGTTGTAGCATTCCCAGTTTAGGAACATGTTCGATTTTTGTCCTCTGACAAACATCACATTGTTGAATGTGTTCCTTAATTGCTGACTTCATCCATTTCCAATAAAAATATTGTTGCACCCTGAAGTAAGTTGCTTGCAATCCCGAATGACCTCCAACAGGGGAATCATGTAGAAGAACAATAATTTGGTTGCGTAAATTTCCTTGACTGCCAATGTACACCCTCTTATTGTAACATAGCACCCCTTGAGTGTAGCTTCATTTCCCATTGTCTGTGTCATTCAAAGCAACACTTGCTATCTTTTCTTTGTTGTTTTCAACCTCCTGAACCCAAAATGGTATATTTGTTGTAACCGTGAGTTGGTTTAATGCAGCCTCATTATTCATCTGTCTCAATAAAGCATCGGCAGCCTTATTACTCTTCCTTTTACGATACAGGGTCACATAATCTAACCCCAGTTACTTTGTAAGGCCCTTCTTTTGAATTGCAGTAGTATTTTTTGTTCGAGAAGGTGTTTCAAAGACTCATGGTCAGTCTTTATTATAAAAGTACCTCATTCAATATAATGCCTCCATTTTGTGACAACCATTAAAATAGCTAAGTATTCTCTTTTATAGATAGAAATATCAGAATGCTTTGGGCTCAAAGCTTTACTCAAAAAAGCCACAGGTCGTCCTCATTGAGATAACAACTCCTATTCTTTTAGAACTAGCGTCAGTCTCTAAGCAAAATGGTTGTGTAAAATCTGGCAGAACACAGGGGCTGTACACATTGCTTTTTAGCAATTGTATAAAAGCATCCTTAGATTCTACTGTCCATTTAAAGGCATATTTCTTTAGCATGTTTGTCAAAGGCCGACTAATTGCTCCATAGTGTTTAATGAATTTTCTGTAATAGCCAGTAAGCCCCAAGAACCCCCTAAGGCCTTCAAATTCTTTGGAAATGGACAATTTCTCATTGCCTCAACTTTGCTAGGATCAGTAGCTACTCCATTTGCAGAAATAATGTGCCCAAGATATTCAACCCTATCCTGTCCAAAAAAACATTTGCTCCTTTTTTGCAAACAACTTGTTAGCTTGTAGTAACTTCAAGACCACTTCTAAATGTTGTAGATGTGACACCCAACAAGGACTATAAATCAATATGTCATTAAAAAAAAAAGCTAAAACAAACCTCCTTAAATAGGGTCCGAAGAGCTCATTCATGAGAGATTGGAATGTGGCTGGGGCTTTTGTTAATCGAATGGCATCACTTAAAATTCAAAGTGACCATGGTGGGTGCGAAATGCAGTCTTTTGGATGTCTTCCTCCTTGATACGAATCTGCCAATAACCTGAGCGCAAATCCATTTTAGAGAAGTATTGAGCTCCACATAGTTCTTCTAATAAATCTTCAACCACAGGAATTGAAAATTTATTTTTTATAGTCATAGCATTCAGCTGTCTATAATCCACACATAAGCGCCATGAACCATCTTTTTTTCTAACCAACAAGAAGGGAGATGCGAAGGGACTTTTACTAGTCTGATTATCGAAGAATTTAGCGTCTCCTTAATCTAGTTTTCCACTTCTGTCTTCTGGTGGTGGGGAAATCTGTAGGGTCTCAAATTAATAGGTTCAGCTCCTTTTTTTAAGTTGAATAGCTGGTCTTGAGTTCGAGAAGGAGGTAAGCCTTGAGGTTCATGAAAAGCATCCTCATACCGCTCCAGTAATGTTTGCATGTCTACTGGAACTACCATTTCTTCTGCCTCGGTGCTCAATAAATAAATTTCACCCACTAAGTCCTCGTCCTTGGAAGTTAACCGCTGTAATTTATCACCAGAAATAATTTTCATAGTAGTAGACTGTTCCACCATGTAGCTCAACTTCAGTGCTTTCCTTCACAAATTTGATAGTCATTTGATTAAAATCCATGCTAATCGGGTTGTATTTGCGCATCCAATCAACCCCCAAAACCATGTAGTTGCCTCCTAAGTGTAGTACTCAAGAATCGTGCTCAAAATGATGTCCCTTCATCTTCCAATGCAATTGTTTTCTCATAGCAGTACTATACATTTTGTCACCACCAGCTACAGTAATTGCCAAAGGTTTGTTGGACACTACCTCAGTCCCCCTCCTTATCCCATCCTTTTGTTACGAAACTGTGAGTACTTCATGAATCGATAAATATACTCAGGGGTGTACCTTTGATAGAACCCAAAATTCTCAAGGTTCTATGTCCCACACTCCCTCAGAGAGCACTTACAGAAATCTCCAAAGCACCTTCATCACCCTCACTATTGACACACATCTCTTCAGGCATATGGTGTGGAGTGTGTAACTCCGGAATTATGTCTTCCTCGCCAGTATCGTGAACTTTGTCCTCCTCCTTCATATTCAATTGCTTAGGTTTGCATTGGTGACCAGGACTGAACTTTGTCCTCTAGTTTCTTCCGAACGAACTTTCAAATCCTGAAAACGTGCTTCCCATCGAGTGTTTGTGTTTCTCACCTCTTGGGAATATTGTCCTCTGACTGATCGATAGGTTGCTCTTGAGGCTCCAATGGTGGTGTTTCTACCATTGTTTGATGTTTCTTTTGTTTACGCAGTTTGATAGGAAAAAAATCTACTTTTGGATCAAAATAACCTTGCTCTGATTACCAATTTGTCGCAATTTGGGGTTGTGAACTAGGGATTCGAGAGAGATTTAGAAGAGAATGGAGAAAGGGTTCGAAGATTTCAAAATTTTCATAAGAAAATGCCGTTTACATAATTGTGCATATATAACTAAAATGTGGACACTAACAATTATTTGTTTTCACGTGTCATAACAGATTTGTCCTGCCTCAACGGTTCCCTGCCAGCTAGCTGTTTCCTTCCTTACAGCTCACCACTCAATTCCTGCTGCATATTTATGATTTCTTCATAATGGGTTCTGTTCCTCTGTGACCCATTACTGCCCAACAGGTTTGTCAAAACGTTGTCGTTTCCTTCATCAAAATGTAATTTCACATTTCCCCCAATCTTCTCTTCCCCAAGCCCTACTTTTGCAATCATTCTCCCTTTCTTTCCCCATTCATCATGACAGTCTCAAAGGAAATGACACTTCTTTCCTAAAATTGTGAACAAAAAACTAAAAGAAGGAAAACTGATAGAAGCTGTTGATCGGATGCTAGTTGAAGCAGGAGACATTGATGACAAACAATTGCAAAGTCTGGTTGAGATGCTTTGTGGTGCATACAAGAGCGGGCGAAACTAAGGCCGCGCATGGCACAAATGGTTGAGATGCTTTGTGGTGCATACAAGAGCAGGCGAAACTAAGGCCGCGCATGGCACAAGTGGTTGAGATGCTTGAAGGGCGTGTAGTGGTAGAAGAACACCTGACACACAAATGGTTATTGTTGATATGTTATCCACAGATGAAGAGGATTGTGATATCATTACAGGCCAAAACTCACCGTAATGGGATCGGATGCAGACCGCAACATTCCTACCTCGGCTTCATCTTATTTTTCAATGTCCGTACTATCCGGACGATAGTTCCCTCTTACATACTATCAAAGCTCAATTCAGCTCGAGTTTTTTTCCTTTTCTTTTATTTTTCATTTTCCGAATCGGCAAATAGAACAATGAAAATATAGATTTTCGAAGAAATTCCAGAATTTGATCTTCTTTTATATGCAAAAAGGATGCATGTAAACAGTGTACAACCGTTTATCTTGTACCTAAGATAAGACGAGGCAATGACACTGCCATTGGCTCTTGGTGAACTTTCCTCTGTCACTTTTTGGTTTTCATCTTGAAACCCAGTTTTCTGCAGAAACATTGAATTTGACCTTCTGGAAGATCATCTCTGGATGTTGTCAAAAATAATATGTTTACTTGGTCAAGTTACTTAAGCGAAGAAGAAAAAAAGCATAAAAGTAATACTAGTAATAAAAAGATAGCACTGAAAGGTCCATTAAAAACACAAAGACAAGAGAATCTGCAAACTACTAGCTGCATCTAATCTTTATGCAACTGATGGAAAACCTCACAATAAATTCTCTGTAAATCCCATTTGGGGTCCATGAGTTCAATGTAACCACCCGTACAAGCATTAACAACAAACTATATTTCAAGAGTCAGATTCTTCTGCTCAAATAATAACAATGGGAGAAAAGAAGACACTAACATCAAACAAAAGGCGTGCTAGTATTGCAAGCTCAGCAACTCTGCTTCAAATTTGGCGAAGACCATCATAATAACCCTTCGCTTAAGGCATCTTGCAACACCCTTGGGCTTCTTTAATAAACGATATTTCCGAATTTCCATCATTTGATGAGAATAAGTGCTTCTCTTGATCTGTATCGTCAATTTCAGGTGAATCGCGGGGGGTGGAAGTTGAGGCAGATTCAACTCCATCTTCTGGAAGCAAGCAGCCAAAAGAAATCAGAATAAAGTTCGATATTAGTGTTGTATCATGGAAGGGTGTAAATGGCCGGATCGATTTTTCAAACCAACCCAGAAGACGTAGTGAATCTTACCTATGTCGTGGTATTCAGGCAACTCCTTCACTTTAGTTACTTGAAGGCTTTCAGGAAGCAAACAACTGCATAATGAACCTACATTTTTGACAAATTATGAAATTAACAATTTTCAACGTGTTTTGCTTATTCAAGAACAAGCCAAAAGCAAAAATAATATGGATGATGAGAAGTAGACTAAATGACAATCTATGCTTGGCCTCCTACTAGTGATTGTTTTCCCTCCAATGGAAGGCCAAGGACCAGTATCAACTATCCTACAAAAGTAGCTACAAACATAAACAATTCTTAAGGCTCCTACCAGAAAAAGATCTAAGCTCTCGCTTGATGTAAGGAAGAGCAAGGCCTTGCTTGATATCATCCAATGTAACAGATACATATGTGTGCATACATAAAATTCTTGTGCCTACGAGAATGTGATAAACAGTTGGAAGGGTTGGCATACCTAGTCGAGCCATCCGGTTCACCCATCCAGGGATAGATTTGCCCATCAATCTAAGTGCCATATCATCCGTAAAGTGATTACAGTTCTTGGAGATGAGGTGGTAAGTATCTCCATGATACTCGGAAGCTACATCCTCGATAAATGATCTGAATTCCGAGGAAAGCATGTTTATGCGTCCTAATGAGATGGAACATCGATAAATAAAACCAGGGCAGCTTCTTGGTTCCACTTCAAAAACTCCACTTATTGGAAAATCATGGGCCCCAAACCCATACTCTTTCCCGTGAACTGTTTGATAAAATATTGAGATATACTTTAGCTTCCTAGATTACAAAGATCATCAACATACAAACTAAAATTCAGGTCATATTGCAAAAAAAGAAGGGCTCTAATCTCTTCCTTCTGGCCAAAACAACTTAATTTCAAATGCAAACGACTAAATTGGAAAGAACGAATTTAGCAATATGTTGTTTTATTTCAAACATGCTATTTCTTTGAGAAAGTGCTGCATTTCAATCCCAACAACTAACAAGAAATGCCTAATCTTAAATCCAACTAGCAGGAGATAGTCCTGCGGCTTCACCACAATATGTTTATCTAGTCTAAATAATAAATACTTGGAAGTAAAACTGAAGAACTTTATGACCAAAAGAAAATACGTTATTAGCTCCATATAACACATAAAACCCTGATTAACAATTATAAAAAAAATAAGAAAAAAATATTTCAAATATATATAGATATATTTAGGTTCATACTGTGGTGTATTTCCAAATTTTAACAAACATTTTTTCTTTTACCACCATACCATGTCAAAAACGAAATATTTTTTACACTAAGCCGATGTTTCTCCAGCTCATATACAAACAAGAATTAAAGGAAAACCGGGTATGAATTCATTGTGTTAATACAAAGATTTAAGTAATCTTCAAAGGATCTTATTTTCTCCATATCAGTGAAATCATTACAACCCTCACAAAATTTCCTTTCCTAAAAGAAAACCCAAATATATATATTTAGTTCTAAGCTAAATATTGAAGATAATCACATAAAATCAATTAGAAAAAAACTGCAGACCTGTATCTGTTTTCTATTAGGGGAAACCAAATTCTCCATTTTGAAGCAATAAGGAGATACATAAGTCATTAACCAATACTTATAAAAGATACGATTAAAAAATTGATACAAAAAGACTAAAAAACAAAATGGAAGGATTGAGAAGATGGAACAAACCTTCAATACCGGAGTGGTAAATCCCGAAACCAAACCAATAAGTGTAATTATTGTAAGGAGTGAGGTCATAGACATTCAAAATCACATCGGTTTCATTGTGATTTCTCGCACTTCGATTCCCAGAGCTGGAATCAGAGACTTTCGCTGTCCCCATTTCCCCCTTTATATTAACACAGAAAAAGGTTTGCAAAACAAAAGATTTCCACAATTCTCCACGAAATCTTTTCCTTGTTTATTAGTGTACAAGTATATTTAAGGCTCAAAGGTTGATGAATCTGTTGAAAGCTGAATAATATACACCGATATATAATAATATATTTATAATATCTACTAATATATTAATAATACGTACTAATATATTAACAATATCTACTAATGTACTAATAATACGAACTAATAAATTAAAATATGTACTATTCGTGCTAATAAATTAATAACATATACTAAATATTAATAATATATAATAATATATTAATTATATGTACTAATATATTAGTAATATTTAAAAATATTTTAATAATATATACAAATATATTAATAATATATTATTAATATATGTCATAACCGTCCTTCGGGTGGACCCGGAATCAGACTTCGACTTAATTTCGATATGTTAGAGCCGTCACCGATCATTTAAAATTAGGTTGATTGGACACTTCAACTTATTATTTATCTGATCAGCGTTTTACCAAAAATTAATCGAATTCGGGAGTTGATTACAGTAAAGGAACGATTAGCACCATTGTACTGCCCATTCGGTACCAATTTAATTTATCAGTTGTCTTAATTACGAAAGTTGAAAATTAAATTAAAATTTAAAAGTTCGATCTGAATTACGTACCTTCGATGATTTTGAAATTGTTCTAAAAACAACCGAATTAGTATTTAAGAAAAAACTAAAAGGAATTAATATAAAATATAAAAGAAATAATAAAATTAAATAGAAATTAATTAAATAAAATAAATAAAAGAGAATTCAAATTAAAAGGATTAAATTGGAAATAATTGAAAATCAAGGATCAAATTGAAGTTAATTGAAAGTTGCAAGGAGAAAAACGAAAGTTAGGGGTTAAATTGCAAAAATATAAAAAATGCACAAGGATTAAATTCAAATAATTCAAAATTTCAAGGCCAATTTACAACAAGTGACCGTAACATATTATTCTTCAAAATACCAGGGACTTCTGAAATAATTTAAAATACTTCTAATTACACTCCAGTCCCCACTATAAATACCCCCAATATTAGAGAAAAAAATCATTCTTCCACTTATTTCAACAAAATCTCTCCCCCACTCAAATTCTCTCAAATATTCCCCACCGGCCTATGGTCGACCACTTACCGATGAGTCCGACCACCGCCCAGTCGCCGCTCTGGCCACCATCTTCAATGGTCAACGAGCCCTAAACATACCTCAAAAGCTTCATCTTCACTCCCCGAACCCAAAACTGAAGCCTAACTACCTAAAATACAACCCAAACGAGGTAGATATAACAAAAAAAAGTATTGACTTTACCTTTTCCGACGAGCTTTCCAGCGACTGTTGCTTATCCGAGCCTAAATCGACGTTCGCTTCACCCCCTTGAGATTTATTTTGCTATTTCTTAATGCTATTTGCTTACCTTTTTTGTGTTTTGGCTATATGGTTGCTTTCGGTTTCTCTTGGTTGAATACTATGAGTTTTTGTGGCTTTGATTTACTTGGTTTGATTCTTAAGATATTTGGTGCTTCGATGCTTTTCCCATTGTGTTTTCTTTTGTGCTTCGCAAGAGACTTTATATAGCCTCGAATCCGGCTGTTTTGAGTCCCTAAAATGAATCTTCTCTGGATATTCGGTCGACTCTGTTCCGTTTTAAGTTCGTGCGAATTGTTGTTGGAGAATCGAGCCGATTTTTTTCGTTCGTGTTGACCGAAAATCACGGGACGGTTCAGTCCCGATTTGTTTGGTCGGTTTTTGAACTTGCGCGTGTTGCCATCCGCTCTATCCCTCTGTGTGGTGCCGTTGATATTTTGGGGTTTACACAACCCTAACCTATTGCTGGGGTTACTGGGATGGGTCAGGCCTATCCTTAACTGAACTGACTCGCTGGGTGAGGCCTGCTTGCTCGGTTGGGCTGCACTCTGGACCGATTAGACTTAGATCGTACCTTGCTTTGGTCTTGAAATAATTAAATAAATAAAATGAATAAAAAAAGAAAGATAAATAATGGAAAATAAAATATTATTATTAATAATATGTATGTATTAAAATTATATATGTTATATTTCAAAAACAATATAATATGTTTTCAAAGATTATATAATATAGATGTTTACAAAAACCGTTTAAAAAACTATATATTATATGTTTTCAAAAACCATTTTTAAAAAATTATATATTATATGTTTTCAAATTTTTTTTTTAAACTATATATTATATGTTTTCAAAAATATTTTCAAAAACTATACTATATATCTTCAAAAACTATATATATTATATATTTTTGAAATTATTATATATATTATCATATATACTAAATAAGACCCTTGAAGTTCTGGACGAAAATGGGTGTGTACAATATATTAATAACATGTACTAATATATTAATAATATGTACTAATAAATTAATAACATATACTAATATATTGGTAATATGTACTAATATAGTAATAACATGTACTAATATATTAATAACATGTACAAATATATTAATAATATGGACTAATATATTAGTAACATGTACTAATATATTAATAACATGTACTAATATAGTAATAATATATACTAATATATTAATAATATGTACTAATATATTAATAATGTGTTCCAATATATTAATAACATATACTAATATAGTAATAATATGTACAAAGGAAAAAGTGAGGGTTTTCATCCAAATCATAAAGGAAAGGGGTGTACCTAAGGAAGGAGCATCATTTCGGGATTTAAAAATCTAGATAGTGTGTTTCTAATCCTTTGGAGGGTTAAGGATTCATAAGCAAGATGATTTGTTAAGATTTTGATATTTGAGCATTATAGGGTTTATACATGATTTCACTATTAAAAGACGTTTTAAATGTAAGGAATGTATTTTTATAACACTTTAAGGCCCTAAGCAACTTCCTAAAGTTTTTGCAAATGATTAAGAACCAAACTAAGACCTTTGGGGATGATTTTTTGGTGTTTTTCGAGCTTAAATAAGATATTTATGGGTTCGAGTATTGATATTGGATGAACAATATTGATACTCAATGAATTGGGATGAAATATGGGTAATTTTAGTAAGGAGTATAGCTACTGAGGAGAGGAGTATTGATGCTAACCCCTTGCTATCGATATCGGGGTTGTAGTATCGATATCGCGGGTATTTATACCGGAGAACTGGTATCCATACCGAAAGATTGGTACCCATACTGGATAAGTTGGTGTCCATAGTAGATGAATTGGTATTCATACCGAAGGTTTGATATCAATATCAAAGTGGTTTAGTGACTTCAAGATGTCAAATAGACTCAAGAGTGAGGAGTTTAATATCGATTGAGATATTTCATCTATATCAAATACGGGAGGTTGCTAAAACGTCCTTGGGGATTGCAATTACCAAATTACATTTATTGGCCCGTAAGAGCTAAAGATGATATATAATGGCAGAATTTAATTTGTAGGGGACCTAAATGACCAAAGATACCTAAAAACACTCGTACGAGTGGTTTACAACCGATGTAACCATATTAAGCATAATACATCCAAGTATCTTCAGTCGAGTTCGTATCTAGTAGTATATATTAGTACATATATTATTAATATATTATTTTTTAAATTATTATTATTATTAATATATTAATATATATTATTAATATATTAATACATATTATTAATTTATTATTACATATTATTTATATATTAGTGCATATTTTTAACATATTAGTATATATTATTAATATATATGTTCATATTATTAAAATATTAGTATATAATTTTAATGTATTAGTATATATTATTGATATATATGTATACATTATTAATATATTAGTGCATATTATTTAAATATTAGTTTGTATTATTAATATATTAATGCATTAGTACATATTATTACTATAATAATACATATTATTAATATAATATTACATATTAAGAATATATTAGTTCACATTATTAATATATTAATATATATTATTAATATATTTGTAACCCCTAGACCCGGCCTATGCGTTTCGACTAAGTCTAGTGGATCACATTCATGATTCTTAAAGACATTTTTCCGAAACCGTTATTCTATCAACGTAAAATCATATTTATAAATGACATTTATAAATTATACTATAAAAAAAGCCAACTCATAATTATGAGAAAAATAACAAGTTAATTAAAACATGTCTTAAAAATCCAAATTTTAATAAACCAATATAAATTAGCAAAATGAGTACTCATTATAAAATTCAATACTTTTAAAATAAGGCCTATGTTACCATAATAGAGTCAACTTAAAAGATAAAACATTACAATACGATATACTTCAAGAGATATGTTGATCCTCCAAGTGCTTGATCCAAGTATCTAACCAACAATATATGAAAGGGGAAAATATTTTCGAAAAGTGAGCTAGGCTCAGTGTGTCCCAATAGTACAATAAAATCATAGTAGATACAGTAAATGAGTAGTAGTTCAGAAATTCATCATCAAACCATAATGAAGTTTAACTTTTAAAACTCGTAATTTAAAACCCTTCTCCTGTACACCATCCTCAATTTCCCCAAAACTGCGTCCATAGGGCTTACCTTAAGCACACAGCAGAAAGGAAGCCAACCTAAAGATAGGCTTTGGGACCTGTATCCTTAAGTCCGTAAGTCCGTAGGGCTTACCCTAAGCACACAGCAAAGGGAGCCGACCTAATGAAGCATCTTGAGGCCCGTAAGACTACCCAAGAGTCACATTAGGTCCATAAGGTTTACCAGCTTGATCAAAGCTGTACCTCCGTAATGCAATCCAACCCAAAATTAGTATTTCAAAAATACTATTTATGCAGTAAGCATAATTTCCATAATTCCATATTCAATATTATCATATACCAATGAAAACCAATAATCATATATCAGTCATATTCTATAAACCATCACCAGTAAATAGGTGGATTAATAAAACATTAAACCATAGCTTTCAATGTACCATATTTCAAAACATATAAAACAATCAAGTAGTACACAAGGAACACACCTCGACAATAGGTTCAAATAGTAGATCTAGTGATTGCTGGCTTCGCCACGCTCTGCTA